AAATAAACAAAATCACAAAAAAAACAAAAGAAAAACAGAGTAATAGCCAACCAAACCTAACGATAAGCCCTGAAAGTAGCAATGGGGCTGGAATGTGGTGGGGGGGGGGTGGGGGGGGGGGGGCGGGGGGAAACTCCTGGCAATTCTTGATGGTGGTGTGCCGCCCGGTTCTCCAAACCCTGGGCCTATATCAGACCAAAAAATGCCATTTTTCACACCCGCTTTCAGCCCCAACCTCTAAGGAATTATGACATCATTCCTCAAATAAGAACGTGAGTTCGCATATTTCTTTCTCTCTGATTTATTTGGAATTGAGACGACAAAAACGTTCATACACCACCGTCTCGAAAACTATACCTGTTTCCAGACCTAAATCGGCAAAATCTATATCCGTTTTCCGACCAACATGGCGCAAAATCCATACCCTTTTGGGACGGCAGATACTTATACGGCTCACATAAGGGAGAACCCCCGGGGTCAGTTAAATGACCTATTCAGTTGGTTTTTCCCAGTTTTTTAGGGACATTTTAACCAGTCATAACACGCGTAGTATCTCGACCTCAGTTATTGGTAAATATAGATGCTGCGGTTTAGGGGAGGGGACGCCAGCAATTCAGAACAATTTCATTATCAAGGTTTATTTTAGAGACTCCAGATTATCGGATTAGCGGGGTTGTTGTGCGTTAATTTTCAGCCCGGGATTTTCAGCCCAGTGAGTCTTTGGTTACCTTTGATCGCTCTGCTTTATCACCCTTTGATCGCTCTACTTTATGCTGTCAATGTCTTTAAAAAAAATACCGGCCTGGATAATGTATCTCCAAAATGTCATCATTGTGCTGTCATCGTTGGCAACGATTTGCTATTGTGTTTAAAATTAAAAAAACCGCAAGAGGATTCTTGATGTGTTTTTTGTTTTCAACATTTAAAGTCTTATTGTCAAGTCATCGAAACGCCCAACTATTTAAACGCCTCGACTCTTAAGAAAACAAAGAAATCAATATTGACAGTCTACAATACTTTGGTGTTGTAAGTCAATTTTTGTCTTCATCTTCGCATTAGACAATTTCACAGGTCAGGTTTTACCTACAAACATTTTATTTAGACGGTCAGAAAAATTACTAAAACCAATATTAGAGTGATGAGAGGGGAGTTCAACCGCCCCCAACCCACGAACTAGCCGGATGGGGCAAGCGTACTTATCTATCACAGGAGCTGTTATTGTCAGAGTTTATGGAGTTCGATAAGGGTAAAAGCCCATTTGTGAAGTTTTATTGTAATCCATGAGAAAATAAAAAAAATCATTGTTCGGGTAACGACTTTAGTTGACGTCAATGTAAAAACACAGCAAGGAAGGCCAGTCAACGTACAAGAAGTGTGTTCTTACGTACAAATTTCCCATATTTGCATAAAGTGGTTGTAACTAATAACTAAAAGTTCTGATCTTGGTTGCTTAAAGTGATCTAAGCCTGTTCTCCCACAAATCTAAACCAGCCGAAAAGAAAAATTTGAAAAATGCGTTGTTCGGTTAAATCTGTATGTCTTTTTATGCACGTGTTCCGGTTTTGTGTTGGTTTGCTCTGTATGTTCTGCGTTTGTTCCTGTGGCTCCCGCCCTAAGGGCAATATGAAGATGTTACGTAGACATGACGTCAGATTAATAAAATCTATCCTTTTGTCATCGAAACTATAAACACAGGAAGAGAAGGCTTCCTTTCTTGTTTGAATGAAATTCTTCTGCGTAAAATTCATTAGTAAATTCCAAACAAACCTACTGCATATTTTTGCTGCCATTACGATGAGGGTTTTATGAATATTTTCATACAGCACTCAGAGATTCTACGGCTTATTGCCACTGAAAACACTTAGAAAACAAAGGCTTGTAATTACAAGAAATGACCGTGATTCCTAAGAGTTTAAGGTCAGAAAACTTGACTTCGTATCAGCGTGAAATTTATGTACAATATGGAATCTACAACAAGAATTAACTAGGTCACGCTATCTGGAGCAATCGATCTGTAAACTGTTCTCTAAGTTACCAAGCAGTGCTTTCACTCGTCCTATATCAAGATGTTAATTCTTTGACCGATCTTTGTGTCAGCTTTTACTATATGGAATTTTTGATTAATTTTCAAAGATAAGCTGTCTGAGTAAAACTTGTCGTATCTCAGTTTAACGGCTTTTTTAAAATTTTTGACCAAAAAACCCCGATTTAACTTAGAAGGGCCGCGGGACACTGCATCAGGAAAATAAGCTATTTTAGTAACAGATTAAACCCATAATTAACGGGGTAAATTTACACAAAACGAAAGAATTTCATCATTGACAGCCCACTACTTTTGCTTTTTATGAATTAATACATTCTGGCAGTAAAAGCCTACAGTAATACATTACGTGTACTGATTCTAGACTGACAATTGTCGATTACTCCTTTTTTCGTTGAGATTTAGAAGCTAACCGCGATTTTAACTCAGAATAGAAATTAAGGAAGATATCGATTGCAGTTTACTAACGCTTTATTCTAAGACATTCAAGATTGCTGAACATAAAAACACAGAAAAAGACCTTTAACCATTCAAATAGTTTGGATAACGCTATGGCCACTGCACTAAATACTTAAGGCGTAAATTATATCCGCCAAATTTTTTCTCTGTATATTAGACAATGGCTTGACAACTCTACAATCGACAGACAGATTAATCCACTTGTCAGCCTTAATGTCGCTGCGAAATATCAGCATATACAAGTTAAGTAAAGACAACTTACCAAAACCTTCGACGATATAGGTAGGGTAGGTTTTCCACAAGATAGTACAGTGATTGTACATAAAACAACCAGTAACAGCGAAAATCTTGTCATTGTTTCAATCAGGA